CGTTTTGTAAATAACGGAACATATTTATAACAAAATTTTACATTTTACGGTATTAGTGAGATATAAATAATGATAATTATTTAAAAATTTAGGAGATATTTTACACGTGAACATAATCTGTATTTCCTCATACATTCTGTAACGCTATTTGCTTAATTACTCTGTGATTTGATACAGCTTACAATCATAGAAACAGGGAAATATTATTGTCGATGTTTTCGAGTAGATATGTACCATTTCTATAGCTCCATATCAATCCATGATACAATAAATTTTCGACGTATTTTAAGAAAAACGGCACAGCTATTGGTGCGTATGGGAACTTTTCTAATTGTAGAAGTTACTTACCTAATTAAGCACGTGGACTAAGGGTATATATCTATATATTATGCCTAAACATATATTTTTAGAATAAAAAATAATTATTAGTAAAAACGGAGAATGATAAAATTTAATGCAATATTTCAGTTGATTTTTAATGTTAAAGTAAAGGTAACTATAGAGCTGTAAGTCGCGTTATAGTAGCATACAGAATGTATAAAGCAATACCATACAGCATTTAAAATAATTATAATTGCGCTTCATTTCTCAGCTTACCAATATAAAATTTTGATCACAGACAAAATTACATAATACAATGCAATATCTTTGCGCTTATGTTCTTGAAATATAAAATACTTAACTTATTATTACAATATTTTAATATAATAGTGAGATTATTCAAAGCTGAAACAACCAGTTTTCTGTGACTAAAATATTTCAAGGCAACAATTTTCAAATGATTTAAGCGAACATCTTTTCGCAAGGTGGCCTCTTAACAAACTACGCTTATAGCTAAGTAATTCTGAAGGGCGTTTTTTTGCTAAACCGCGAAACCTACAAACTATTTTATTATACAAACATTTTATTACGTAAGTATAGTAAAGAATATGGCTCCGAATTGCTTTTATTTTTGTTACTACATTAAAAACAAATTCAACTTGTAAAACAAGTTTCTTATGGTTCCTTTCACATTAGCTCCAATGTCACCCCATATAAAAAATCCTAGTTCTAGTTGTATAACTTAAACATCCAAAATTCAGTTTTATTGTATACGCATAATTTTGTTTAAGACACTATATTCCGTTTTCGTCTTCATTTATTTGTTGGGAAAGAAATATATTTTTAAGTTACCAGAAAATAATTGCGCACATAAAAGGTGCCTGTTTTGTTTAAAAATCAGTTATAAAGTAACATTTTGGATGGTCAAACGCTGTAGGAATAACAAATAAAAATGGGTCCAAGTTTTTTTTTGTAATGTGGGTAAACAAGTTGAGGAAATACGGTACGACTCAAATTTTAGCCGATAGAGTCCCAATACGTAATTTGTTTAAAAATGGCCATATTTGTAGGCACTTGTAAGTCCTACGTAGCAAATACAGGCTTAGAAATAATAATAGCGTAACGTCAGTTCTGTTTCTGATAAACGATAAGCTGAATCAACACAAGAAACAATGGTTTCAATAATGACCAAGTTTGGGGGGCTCTTTTCCTAGTGCTATCTGATGATATTAGTTTCGGTGCACAAAGCTTTAGAAATTGTATGTTTAATTAGCATTAGTACATAGACAGTAAATCTAAAACTAATTTTATCAATCGTTTTATCATTATTTTAATATGAGATTCAATGTTTTATGTTACCGTTAATTGTCTTATGAACAAAATTACACCCTGTGCTTAAGCGCTATTATTCAAACCACTAAATCATACTAGCGTGAGTAATTTGCACTACACTTATGTAAGTATAACGGCTAATCGGGTATAGGTATTCTACGATCTTATTGCTTTGCCTTAGCTTAAAATAATGATAATTGGAAACGCGGCGTTTAACTCTGGACCAGGTACTCTATGTAGACTTGTGGGTATTATGTTATATTTTACATTTTTATTATTTTGAATGCGGTTTATTATTGGAAAAGGTGTTTTAATGATTTAAATTCGTTGTTGTTGCTATTTTTTTTTGCATTTTAAGCGTTTAATATAACTTTAGTATTTACAGTTTGGCCTGTCTAGGATTGTAACATTTTATGTTATTTAAGTTTTAGTTGAAAATTTTACCTAAATCAATACATTTAGTAGATACTTTAAATGAAATCATCTGGCTTGCAGATACTTTTGAGTTTTGAATTCATAAGATTTAGTTAAACATATAACATCACTTTGAGTATCGTAATATTAGCATAGTTCTTAAATTATTTTATTAGAAAAATAAACTAACTGTTGATTTTACCCATATTCTTAAGTCGAAAACAAATTACCAGTATGAGTGTTTTTACTCGCAATTTTTTTCGTATTAAATAATTTAACATTATTGTTTATGTATTATCTTATTTTGAACAAACACCAACTTAGCTCTTATTTTGAAAAATATGAAATAGTCATAATTTGCATATATTAGTTGTTATAGTGATCTAAATAGATCATTATCACTTCTCGTGGGTTGTTGCTGTAAATACCAATTGGAAGTTACGGAACTACTTGGACGATCTCAATGTTTGTAACAACTTGAAAGTACATATTAACTACTCTGAGATTCATGCAATTTGAAGTTCTACACCTACAAAAGCAAATAACGATTCTTTATAAGATGTAGGCATTTTACAATGATTCGTATATGAGTTATTTAAAGCAAAGCTATTAATTTTGATAAACTAGATAGATTGAAGACAAGTACATTTGGGAATTGACCAATTTATAAATCTAAGACTAAGTACATATTTACATTAAGATCTACTGCGAGCGTAAAATAAAGAGTGTAACATAATATTTTAAATCTAACGAGATAGAGGTAATGGGACTAGATATGGTTTTTGAAAACATCTGGTTGTTATCTTGTCTTTTTAGTTGTCAGCGGAAAATAATTTACGAAATAAATTCAACGGGATTTGGATTTTTTTCTCTTCCCAATTGGTTAAACGTTATTGTGGTGGTTGTATCAGAAAAATACCTAATTTATAAGAATAATATGCAAGAATAATTTTGAAATGATAGTACTCGTACCATACATACCGCGTTCTAAATTCAACTTTGCATTAGCAGCTTTAATGCGACTATATCCAACCTAAGTGAGATTAGGCTCTGCTTTTTGTAAGGTAGTTCTTTGTTACCAAAGTACAGCCCCTAGCCCTGCAGGAGAGAACAATATTAATGGGGTCCCCAATCGCCAAAACTTAATTTATACGTGACAACATCTGAGAGTTATGGTTAAGCGAAGGTGTGGGCGAAGTAGTGCATCGCTACTCACTTTTTTAGAGGAATTCGTAGTGCTTCCGTAACGACCTGACCCACCGAACAGGCCTAGGAAGGTAATTTTTTTTCATATAATTATACAAATAATAGGGAACTGTCAAGAAACGGGCACACTTTCACCGAAACTGTTCATTTCGTCTATTTAGTAAGTTTGATCCAATTAAAAGTACATTCTCATGTTGATATAAACTTGTCTTATGGTCTATTACTGAGAACCTACTCCTACTATCTTGATTTTAGAACTGACTTTTATTAAGTATTAAGTTTTTTTCTGATACTTTCTTGATAATGATAAACAACAAAATAACTCAATAAGTTATTCTATTTAGGCGTTAAATGTTTGTTGTTATTTAAATATAAATAAATGTTTTTATAAAATTGGCAATTTAACTATCCAGACAATATACTGTCAGACATGTTAACAGTATTATGGAATGGATGACGTTATGTTGCCAAAATGTAATAAATCACCTTGCTGTGCAAATGTTCCGTATGCTGACAACTCGTGATGTTCTTCATAGCCACTTACGTAATAATCACAATGTATCCTTAACATATGGTGGGTGTTATTATTGCTAACAATGATATATTGGCGACATCTCTTACTTCATAACTAGAATAAACATTACAACATAAAGTTAGTATTTTGAGCCATAATTATAGTAATTATATAAATGAATATGTGAAAGTAGACAGAGTTTAACATTATTTATCGTCAGGTTCCAGAATAACGTCACGTACCAATGTATACGAATATACTAATAAATAGTTTAGTAAACGAATAGGTACAAGTAACGCATCATTAAAGATAATGCGGCAAGAATGTTCGTGTGTCGAGTGCAGCTCATAAACGCACTTCCATAAGGAGTAGTCAATTTCGTTCATAGTAGTGGAACACATTATCTAGCTACTATGTAAAGGCAAGGAGCAAGGACGGGTAGAAAGCGTTTATCGTTTAGGTACTCTCTTTTGGAAATACAGTTTACGGTAATTACGTAGTCTCTCAGTCTTATAAGCCTCGTTCTGAATTAGCTGAAGTCTAGTATAGAATTGTAACACTAACAAGTAAGTCAATTTAATGTCTTTGGAACCGTTAACATAACCACATTGAATAGAAAGGTCGAGGAATAATGTTCGCAGATAGTGCTATTGTACACATAACCATACGTTATACACAATGTTAAATTTACTTTTTTTAAAAGCCTGTAAATTACATAAAATAAAGCACCCAATATATCCACCACTTATTGCATTCCTTACCACTCATGTCATCATACACTACATTAATAATGTGACGAATAAATGGCTTCGTGCCCCTTCGTCCAAAATAACCGAATCCGGCTCGCTGGACAATCTTAAAGTTTTACTAAAGCGAACATTATTGAAATTTTATTACAAATGGACTCGGCACGGGCGTTGTCACCCGCTCGCGAGAACGCGAGGACGTGTTTATTTAGGCATTAACGGAAGTACAAAATTGGTCCATGCGTCGGGTGAGGGTCGCGTCAGAGGAAGCCCCGGACGTCGGCGTGCCGGGAGCGCGCGATGCGTCGGCAAAAGTGGAAACGCGCACGTGACGGGAGCAGACGCGAGTCACCGAGCTCCGCAGGCGCCGGCGAGCCTGCACCGCTCAGTGAACAGCACGATGCCGACTCGGCGAGCGAGCCCGTCGACGGCCGAGAGCGGGGAGCGCTCGTCTCGCCCGCCTCACACTACCTATAGAACGAGTGCGAATGCGGGGGCGGTGGCAGTGCTGGCGGCAAGGGCGCGTGGGGCTCCGATGCTGAGCGCTGCACGCCGGGCGTGCGATCACCGCGCCCGCAGCGACCTCCTCGTTCACGGTCCCGCTCGCCGTTCCAATTCAACTCCCACTGGTCCACAATGAAAATCTTATTAGGTACGATTTTACATCTCTAATTCGTCATTGTCATAAATATGATCTAAAGTAGCTGACCTCAATTTATTACTGGCAGGGTTAATTCGCACCGAGTGGTAGTGAACGGCAATTTTGAAGAATCAAGCAAGACTTATAATAGTCGCATATGATGTGGAACATCTCACATCCCACCTATTATCTAAAGCTCCCAAATCATTCTCACTGACTGTTAGAAAGCAAGTGGATTGATGTGACACATCAGAAAGTCCAGATCTTTTAAGCTTATCTCAATCAGAAAATGCATAGTGACCCATCCCGTCACTTTGATGAAATATTAGAAACGTTAATATGCATTGACATATATAGAGATACAGCTGAAAATGGTTTGACTGTGTTGGTTGGTTGTGTCGTTGTGTCGTCGATCGCTGCATTTTCGGTGGGTATTAACCCTAAGTATCTTTAGCTATATCAATATCCCTCTTTCACTTACTTTTATCTCAGATGTGATGATTGAAAATGATAAAGTGATACCTAAATAATCAAAATATGAAACTGTTCACGGAATGAAATAAAGTTAAATGCATAGGAACACAAAATCATTTTCAAGTTGGAATACACCTTCTTAATTTGAGTTATAAAATATTGCTACTTCTGGATTTTATGGAGAACTCTGCAAATGCTCTCGATTATTGTGGGTTCTACAGTTGCTGCCATGAGATTAATCTTAACATTTCTTCGAATTTACTTTACCTCGTTCGTCTGGGGTACAGAGAGAGAGGCCTTAGGTAGTACTGTGGAGGGCGTATGCACAGGCTGCGCGTTGTGGTGCGCAGGTACCTCACGCGCCTGCAGTAGTTGCAAAATGCGTCGCACATCGGCCGTGAGGCCAGTCTCTAACACCGCCACTCGACGGCTTAGTTCCTCTAGTCTAGTCAGTACAGTCGCTACAGATGCGGCGGTCGCAGCTGTACCCACGTTTTGATACTGTGGTGATATGCTGTCCTGTATAAAAAATTAAGTATTAATTATGTTACTATCAATTAATTCAAATGAGGGTTTTACTTAATTGCTTAAAATGAATTTATACTTAGATCATACTGAAGAACTACAAAGAGTATTTGATTTGAAGAGTATCATGAAAATACATGAAGGAAGAGGCTCGTTGTAATCTGTAAAATGAACCTGTGCAGCTGCAGCGTTTTGTGTTTTCTCGTTAGAGAAAGAGAGGGCGGCCGGTCGTCCCGTCTGGTGGAGATTGACGGCTGAGTGCGGCGCCGAGCGGCATGATGGGGTGCGCGCAGCAGAGGGTGGCGCAGGAGTCGCGAGGATGTCATCGCAGGAGACGTGCTGGTGAACTGAGGGCGCGGCCGGCGGCGACGGCGATGCATTTGTATAGTACGAGCTTGGATTCGTGCTAAGGCTCGAAACAGGTAGTGTCGCGCTATGCGCCGGCGTGCTCACTGCTGGCTCTCCAGCCGCCGGACATCCCGTTAACGGCGACGTGTCGTTTAATGGACCTACTGACGATTGTCGGCGAACACCTGGACGACTTCTGTATGTTTGAGGAGTAGATTGAGCTGAAAATGATTAATGTCCAGGTTACTATTACAACTCAACACCTAAATAATCATAGTTATAAAAATTTTCAATATAGTATATTTAATATTATTAGTATAATTGAAAATATAATAAAACAAAACTTCTTTGAAACCGTAACCTTTTAATTTTAGTTTAAATATGTGTGGTTATACCATAGTTAAATTAAAGAGTTACTTAACTAGCCTTCTCTTAAAAAATCTAAATGTATTCGTATAATGAACGTGTTTAACAGTATTTGCAGTATCGGTCGACAGTTGGGTGGCCATTTACAGATGAGGCATTTACATGGGACTATTCGACCGACAGTTTTGTTTCATCTAGAGGATAATTTTAAACGTTTTTGAATCATGCACTATATATTAATACATTATGCATACTTACAGTACTTGTTGTGCAGTGGCTGATGTGTTTTATGATGGTAGAGGTCTGGGAAGCTCCGTTTAAGTTGCGCTAGCATGCCTGCACACAAGGGCCGCGCTCAGAGCGGGGCGGGCGGTACCGGGGGTGCGGGGTGTGGTGTCGCAGTGCTAGGTACGCTAAGTGCCCACCGTTCGATAATTCACCATATTTCCGTATATACTGTGACAACATCTACCACACCGCATCCCCTCCCACGTCACCAATAAACAGGAATATAAATAAATAAGGAAACAAGCGTAATACATGCGGCCTTAAACGAAATAAAATTTAAATTATTTTCCATAAATTAGGATAAATACCGATGTATTCATTTAGTCATAAAATCCAATTTTTAATTAATAAATATCGTATATAAATTTTAATTTTGCAAAAAGGTGAAATACAAATTTGCATTTTTACGCTGTTTCAGTTTTAAACAGGATTATACTCAAGATTAATACTTTTTGCAAAATATTAGTAAATTATAGAATTTATTAAAATATCCCAAAACAGTAACTCTCTTACCCGGTGGTAAAATAGAAGTCATAACAAATCCTCATGATATTATAGTGAAGAAGATATTTAAATATGGCAAGGGAAATGCATATTGTTCATTCATTGACTATGTGTAGGTCATCTACTCTATGTATAGAGAGGAAGTTCTACCACAACATGCCGCCCGTGTTCACTTTCATTTGCAGGAACTCTTCACACGGGTGTACGTGGTGTAATTTAAGAAAGGAAGTGAACATTCCACGGCCATGTTTGAGTTAATACCGGTAATAGAGTTAAGCGTGGTGGAGCGCTGTTTGCTGAAGTTAAAGTTGAGGGGGGTGACATCTTGGCCCGCTTTGTCCGCTGAGAATTCTAAGATGCCCCGGCTTGCTGGAGACTCAGTGTCGTCATCGCTACATTGTGAGTCCTAGAAATAGAAACACGTTAATATACTTCAAGAGAACGTAAAATTGTAGGTTTGAAGATTATTATAATGATTGCATAGTTTATAAACTTGTGAAAACAAATAGTACTTTCTTATTTATGGTTCTTGTCGTCAGGTTATACACCTCCTATTTGAAACTCTTTACGGGTAATTTTATAAATCGGAAATTCTGCTTAAGCGTGACAAAAAGTTACAATTGATAATGTTAGGTTAATTTAAAAACAATACAAAGTTCAAAAATATTAGCAAAAGTAAAAAATAAAATTACAAATAATAAAAAAGTAACTGACGATGGATCCCGTTCATAAGTTTGTTTGTTATAATTTATGATTGTTGTATTGAATTGGTTATTCGTATTTATTTTGGCATTCAGTAGGCACATATCGGCATAAATACATTTAGGGCTGTAGTTTCTCCAGGGAGACTTATTTATGACTATATTTTTTTAAATCATTCATTTATCCCCTAAAATTTATATAGTTACATGTAGCGTAGTAAACACTATGCTGCTATGAAATAGAACCACCGGGAGTGGTGCTGAATTGACGCCATGACGTCTGAGGCCATACACTTTTATAATATAACACCAATGGAAAGTAGAAACATTTTTTGAACTAATAACAGTGAAGCTGGGTTCATAAAGTGAAGAGAAAACTTGTTTTTTTACTACTTTATCTTTGGCTATTTATGGGTAGATAAATGTTGGTACGTACTACTTTTTCGGCAAAAGTTTCAGTGTGTGGGCGACGCGTGTTGCGAGCATATGCCTCGCGTAGCAGTCTTGCGTCGTATGGGTTTTCGTAGCGCATTCGGCGCCGCGGTTCTATACCGCAAAGCTCCTCCTGTTTGTAAATATATAGTTTTTAACATATAATAAAAAATACAAATTGTATTATTAATTATACGGGATACAAGGTTTAATTTAAATTTAAAGTATAATGTATATAACTACACTGCAAAATAACAAGATAATATGATTTAACTGTGCTTGTGTACTATGCGAGTGACTCGAGAAATATTTTGAATGACTATACCTATATCAAGATTGAACAATTAATGTATACATAAATATTAAACAATATAACTGGGATACATTTGGTGTGTTGTGTTTATAAAATGCTGTTTTATGTAACAACTGCGAAATTATAGTCAGTTCACTACCGGATTAAGATCGCCGCTTGTACTACAAGCAATCAGTTTTCATAACGAATAATTCATTAAAGTTATATAAATCAGATCGGTGACGGATTAAAAATACGGAGTGTCACCACCCTAGTCATCCCGTGGGTTTCATAAGAAACGACTAAGGGAGCGAACTACGTAGGACAACAGCACTGCAAAGAGAAGGAAAACTTGAAACAAACCCTATACCTACCCGTTTGGCCAGCGTGGTATAGTACGTAAAACCTTCTTTCTAAGGAAAGGGGTATGTCCAGGAGTGGACTAGTAAAAGATGTTGATGATTCTTTTTTTTTTTGAAAAGACAAATCCCGCACTAGGAATATATATCCACATAAACATACATGAAACGGTAACACATACGCCATCCGTGCAGTCAAATTCTATAATTAATATTTGACCTATATCACTATCGATCGAGCTTTTTCATATACTAACTTTTAAACTTTTTCATATACCTACTGGGCTGACGTACTCGCACAGCTATAGTCAACAACTAAATATTTATTTATACCCTGACATAAGATTTGATATAACGTTACTTCAATCATTAGAAATAGCGGGTGTTCACAAAAAATCTTTTAAAAATAATTCGACCAGGTTTGCTATCTTTCACTTTGTCCGTACATAGAGTACGTGATCTTAAACATATCCCCGACGGCTAAATATTTTTTTTATCAATTTGTATACTCACGTCTCTCATGGGATAAGTGATTTCGAGGTTGTTAACGAAGGAGGATCGAAACTCTGGGTAGAAGTCAAGTACATCGAGTAGGTCATCACGATGTACTCGGTGCAAGTCGCAGTAGGTGAGTGCTCGCACTCGGCAGTTGCTGCGGCCCACTGTTGGGTAAATACAGGGATTCTCGCCAAAGATTTCGTCCTTACCTGGTTAGCAAAAAACAACATAACATCAGTTCTTGTGACACGTAGATATGTTTGTTCTAATACTATTTTTGAGTTTATTAAACCACACATATCTATGTAGAATCACATCAATATTAAAGGGTTACCATTGGTCCCTTTTTTTTAAGGTCTTCGAAGATATATGCCAAATAATATATTTTTTACAACGAGAAAAATAATTAATACTCGAATACAATCTATCAATACAAATTACATTAATAAATTATTACCATGCTACTTTGAATCTAATTTGAAAATGTTTTAATAATGTTAACTGATTTTTATCACCTACTTTAATTTTTATAAATCAAAGTTTATTTTCTACTTGTTTCGTTTGATAAGCATATTAAGAAGTCTCTGTTGCCGCTAATGTCTGGGAAAAAAAAAAGAAATTGTGGGAAGAAGCTTACCCAGAATAGCCAAAACGATATCGTCTTTCAAAATTTCAATAGATCCCCTGGAGATAAAGTAGATAGATGTGAGCACGTCACCACGGTGAACGAGCGTCTCACCGGGAGGTGCATGAGTAGTCTTAAAGCGAAGGGAGAGCGCTCTGGAATAAAGAAAATTTTATATTTCTTCTCTTGAAAAACTTTTGATGTGTAACAAATATACTCAATATTAAACTGCAGTCGGTAGGGATTATGTTTTCTGCCTGTAATTTTTAAGAGAATACAAGAATTTATCTTGAACCTTCGAGAGGTCCAAGATATGTTCTTGTATCCTGTGACTCGAACTGAATACAGAGTTATCCATACCTATTACTGCTTCAAGGCCACATAGAATTAATGTAGGGTGTAGCTTAATGTTGCGGTGTAACTATTGTCACGTGCTGGATTTTGTGGTGAGATCAACACACCTATTTATACATATAATTTATCTCGTTTTACTGGCTTTGATAGTGTTATTAATCAATTCATGGTTATATCTCTACTCACCGTAAACAACCGGGACTAGCACCTTCAAAAGCTGAGCAGTTCGTAAGTAAGTTGCGGTTCAGGTGAAGACAGATATCAGCTTGTAGACATTCCGGGAAACCTTTTAGTAAGCTCGATGTGTCGATACCATTAGTGTAACTCCAGGCATGTTGAAAATATTCCTCTAGCCTTTGGCGCAACGGATTGGCAATCTAAAAAGAAATATGTTGGCATGATTGATGGCAAGTTCGTTAACAAAAGAATACCGTCTCAAAATGCGACTTTAATGTCGAAATTTCATTTTATAGAAATATACGTTACCTGATGAAATCTAATGAACTCCCGTACTCTAAGTATCTGTGTGTGATAACGTGCAGTCCCCGAGTATAACCTTTGTATAATAGCCGATACATTGCCGAAGATACTTGCGTACATGAGTGCTACAAACAGAAAGTGTTGTTTAAAATAATGTGACATTTTTAAATTTTGCAAGAACGTTTCTGGTTACTTACATCCGACAAGCATAACAAATATTGTGAACCCCTTTTCCATATCAGTATTAGGTGCAACATTACCAAAACCAACACTCGTGAGTGAGGTACATGTAAAGTATAATGCGGTTATATACCTAGACCTGGAAATCAACGTCGTAGTTGTTATTAGTAATAGTTATAACATAGATGTAATAACAATATTATAAATATATCATAATATGTGTACAAAGTTACCTCATGGATGGACCAGTTGAATTATCATAAGTGGCTTGGACATCATTAGCAAGTGCATCTAGCCATCCTATAGGAGCATGAAGCTGTGGTCGTTCCCAGCTGCCTATAGCGTACCTGGGTGAAATTAATATATCTCATATACGTCCTAACAAATTTCATTTTGGAAGTTATCATTCTTATTTATACGTTTCTATTATAAAAAACTCACCATAAGCAAGCCAACCAATGAGCAATAAGGACAAAAGTAGCCATAAGGAGAAGGAGTACGGCGGTTCCATATTCGGAGTATCTGTCAATTTTGCGCGCCACGCGCACAAGCCGAAGTAGTCGCGCCGTCTTCAGCAGTCCGATGAGAGTCGTTGTCTGCAACCAGCAGAACGACACCTCAGAACGTTCCGACAGCCGCTAGTGCAATGCAACTTAGCCGCAAACCCAACTCAAGCGTTATATGAAACGTTCGCTTAAAACTAAATAGCTTCAACGAGGCCTCGCAGCGAAAATCACGCTAACTAAGCAGAAACTTGTCTATGAATGCTGTTGAGCTCATACTTAGATATAGTTTGCAGAATTAAAAGCGATTATTTCAAAACTATAAAATTAGCTGGCTTCGTACTTAATGCGGTGCATATAATTATACTTTTTGATAACTGTTATAATTTTCCTGAGAGATTATGTTGTCCCTCTACAGTTAATTGACCTGGGCGCGTAACTTCATAGCATTGAATTGTGAATGTATAATGTGTGAGTTGAAAAGTTAAGCAAAATAGATACTAGTACAAGTATTTACAAGAAGTTAATTAATGTTCATCAAACTTAGTGCTTTGACTTGTTAAAAAGGTACATTTTGTAAACACCCAGTTTAAGAAATAATTAGGAACTTACCTACGGTGTTTTATTTTAACCCTTGGCGATTTACTATTCGGAAAGGTTACATTCTGCAAACTGCAACAACCCCTTTCAGTAAGTCTATAGCTAACAAGTAATCGAGATTTTAAAATAAGGTCGACTCTTCTTTTAGCTAGGAACCTAACTTTATATTTCAAGTTAAAAAAAAAATGTATTTAGTAAATAAAGTTCTTTTATATATGACATATAATCGAATTTGACTTTTTAATATAAGCCATGCCTTTGCTTACAATAATGAGAAACCTATTATTTTCAAAAGTATTCTTATATAGAGAGACTTTTCACACGTGTAGATATCATTTTGTGCTGTAACGTTATGATAAGCATTGCTTGTGATGTTGCTTTGGCTGTTTGTCGATGCATTCGTCATAATGAGTGAGAAAATATATGAGAATTTTGATCTTTGAAAGATACTACCCCCTCCCTTTTATTTGTGTGTCATTACACACCGTACATGGCGGCATGTTTTCATTCGTTTTAGCGACGAATTAAAACATTTAAACATCATTTTTAGAAAAAAGGTAAAACAAAAAAAAAAGTTTAAAATCATTTTATTATAAAATCAAAATAATTTAGTCTTATTAATGTATAAAAATAAATAACAATGTTATATGTCAGTTTAAAACCAATCGATAAATATTCACAAACTTAAATAACGATGATCAAATAAATCGAAGTTGGTAATACATTTCCATGGCAGATCCGGTATCGAATATCGATAAATGGTATATTGCTTGATGTAAGGTGGGTGCTTTGGTAGTTATGTTAGTTTGGGTTTGAGATAATAAACATAGTGCTTTTGAAACGTTGTGAATACTGCGATTTCTTGATCGCTACGATTAGGTAGGTAAGTCTGGGAAGTGTGAGCGTAATTGCTACCAAGCTCTGTGCATCTCGTGAAACTTGTACTTATTGTAAGAAAAGCCAATGAAAATGTTTCGCTCATGTTTTTTGTTATTAAAGTCTTATATATCTTGTATATTAGTCAGATTTGTTGCTAAGCAAGGATTCTTTTACATACTTTAACTAAATCACCTATTAGGTGCTTTCTAAAGTTTAATTATAATAGAATCAGTGAATCTAGTTCGTACTAAATAGTACTTATTAATGAGATTTTGAACTACGTCAATAAGTAATTACGTATGCAGATATATTCTCAAAGGAAATTAATTATGCTGCTTGTATGTGCTAGGAAAAAGCTAAAAGATATTACGCTTCAATTTGAATTAAAGATGAAAGTATAATCTTAAGTGGATTATTTCTAAACAGTATGCTTCATAAACAGTTCGACAGTTTTTCGATAGCCAGTACATTTTCAGTTAAAAGGGGAAATGTTAATACGTTAGTGTTCTCGATCTAGGTATTAAAATACTAAGCAGAACCATGTTCCACATTAATCTACCCGTATGTTTTAATATAATCAATCTATTATTTGTACTGCGCACTGGTTGTTGTATCAAACGCACATAAGGTTTGAATTTGTCACATTTTCATTTTATTATTAGCCTGAACTCTTCAATATACTTAGAGCCTAATAACCCTCCCTATATGGTAAATGAGTATGCAAAATGCAAGGACCGAATCCCATCAATGAATTGGTGTTAAAAAAGATCAAAGATTAATAATGTGGATCTTGCCGGTCAATTTTTGGTCCATTTCTTTTTTACCCCTTCTACTCTCACACAGGCCGACAACCCTGAGACCCAGAAACCAGAATATACTTCTCCGAAGATTTTTGGTGCGCTGAATCTGAATCTGAGGTTCAAATTACCGGCTCTCGTTTCTGAAATATCATAACCTAAAAGTGCAAAAATAGCTGTTTTTGGTCATTTTTGAGGCTATGTAGCAACGTAACATAACTTTTTCTGAAGAACTGTTAAAAGTATTTTAAAGTACAGGCCTTAAAATCGCGTTGAGTTTGCTCAGATATATTTTTTTTTGCAGAAAAATCACATTTTAAAGTTTCTTAGTTTAAAAAAATCCTCCTTATGCTCATATAGTATAAGATAGAATCCAAATTCACAAATCCCAAACACATAAAACCTAAACCTAACAAGCTCAAACCTGACAAACCTAAACTCAATAACCTCAAACCCTCATGGACCAAAAAATTGACCGGCAAAATCCACATTATTAATCTTTAACCTTTTCTTAACACAAATCCATTATTGGAATTCGGTCATCACATTTGCATTCTCACTTACCTCTAGCGCCTGTAAAACTTTTAAATACAAACAACTATGTATTTAAAAGTTTTACAATTAATTTGAATTTTGAATTATACTTCTTATTAGTATGAAAACTGTTCATATTGATACCAGCCAGTATTAAAAAACTGCAATAACAAAGGTAAGGACCTAATAGTAATAGTGAAAGCTTTCTTTTTATAATTTAGTGGGCTTTACTGTTTTAATGTCTGTTTTTAATATCTACTATGGTAGCGTGTTGGTTAGGATTTTATAACAAATATGACATATTTAAGGACAGTTGATATTTATTATTTACATAAACTTTTCGATTTCGTTACATCAATTTTTTTTTTTCTGAAACCTTAATTCTAATAAAAGTAAATGTACTTGTGGTAAGGATCTTGGAAAAAGATGCCTTGTCTCTTCATTTTCAATTTTCCCGTTCAAATAAAAAATAGTATGCCTTGAAAATAATGCATAAGCAAAAAAAATACCTCAAATTTCATGTCTTTACGTATTTATACATTTCTGAATGAACTGTGTAATTCGAACTGTACTTAGATGGCAGTATTTCGAAATTAGAACACAATTTAACTCGTTTTCTTAATATTCTTCAGATCTTTTTGTGACAGTCACCCTTAATAAGTACAAATAATAGATTGACGTGTAATACGCTATTCCGCCGGCGGGGGGTTGCGGCCAAGCTCGTGAAACAGCTGCTAGTGAGCCTCATTAGATGGCTGGCACGGTGTACGACTGTAATGATTGACATATTGCTCATGGGAAGCGTCCATATCTTCCATTAACGCATTCACTTAGTGGGTTCAAAATGGTTAGTGGAAATTAATGAATAAAATATGTCAACTAAAATGTAATAAAATTGAGTGGCAGCAACATAAAAATAGTTCACAAAGATGGTATACCTCATCACTTTCCAGCCCCTGCTGTAACAAGAAATGGTATTACAAATTCAATACGCACCCACCTTCGGGCTCTCCACAATGTGGCTATTCGATAAATGATAAAATAAACGACTGGTCAACAAAATTAACGGGTAATAATTAGTAGTATTAAATTAAAATAAAATCACAAATCAACTTTGCTTACGAACAAAACATACTAAATGATATACTAAAACATACTATGGCGGGTTTACAAATTTTGATCGCTTTAAAAATAATATACAAGTAGCTAATTGATTTCGATAGTAAAGTGGATTTTTTAAGTGATCGGCTGTGGTACCCTAATCGATAGTGATACTTGCGTTGACTGCATTCCACAACTACGTGAATCGCTAGATCATGACCAGAACTTCATTTGTCCGAAATAACATTCATACCAAGCGATACGTGGCAAAAAATTTAACTTTTTAAAACAAGTGATAAGTATAAAGGTACATTATTATTGCGTCTTAAAATACTTATCGCAACCCTAAGTTGACCTAGTTTGCTTTTATATTCTTATGACCTATTTTACCCTTCACTATGCGGAACGTATCGTGCTTCGCCACCCTAATCTTGTTGTACTGTATGGCCTCCACTTGTGACCACTGTAATATTTTACACACGAAAAATAACAGCATTATTTGATCGACTAATATACTAAGTTCGGGGTTCCGAGAGCTTATACCGTTTCGGACAACTGATCGTCTGGATATACAAAGCAAACTTTAATTCACGCTCCAAATACAATTTAAATCGATTCTCTCAGTGTTGTGAGTGAACCGGTCGGTCATGCGACAATCGATAAGAATTTGCAAATCATGGTAAGCCCGTTGGTGTTTTTCTTCTATTCAGCCATTCCTCTTTGTTGTCTAATTCTAATTAAAGTTTGTGTTCATAATATCGTATGTGAGATGAAACCAAATGTGGTGTATGTGGGAGGGAATGTCAGCTCACTTCATCGGTGTCGGTGCCGAAGAGAAGAAGGTCGAACGGGATGGCGGCGACGAGATCGATAAGAAACCAACCACGCAAGTAGTGGAGGGCGATTTTCGTAGGGTCAGACTCCACTTCATCCGCCACGTCAACATACGTGGTACGGAAGTTTATTAGGATGTCTATTATGAAAGTCACGTCCACTGAAAGTAAAACAGTACATTAAATTCGTTATTAGTTCGTAACAACAAACATTGTCCTTACATATAGGAAACTTTCTAAAACCGATTAGGTAACATAAGTGTAGGGTACATACGTGCTACCTACTTTATATTATGTAGGTAGATTTAAAGTAGCCCTAAATCATAAACGCAAAACTGTTTTTAGATAATAGACTTAGCGGCTTCAACGGAGTTTTAGGTTATCAAGATTTGATTTGATACTTTGCATGCAGATATAAATATTGTAGCTCCGCTTTCATGTTCACTGAAGTATTATTATATCAATTTAGTATTTATTTATCTGAGACTGCAGGTTGATTCATAAAAAGTAGTTTATAATTACCTATCATATCTATGACAACTATAGGATCTTCGCCGAAGCTGCGAGAACGTTTATCGAAGTCGGGCTCATTTAGTTGAAAGGCTGCCACGTATGGAGTAAATATCGCCGTGTAGATTACCAGTATTAGGATCAACCAATCCCAAGCGGCCTGCAATATCAGAGTTTAGTATTAAAGGGTTTTTCCAGCAATTTTAATATTCAAGGAAATAACGACTTATGAAATTGTAGGCAGTTGCGTGCCGTCTTACAGCGAGGTCATTCGGACGAATGTTAATTTTCTTTGTAAAACATGGCTACTGGTGTAATATTTTATGTGGTGTATTATAATTTAATCCTTCTTAAATATACGACTTACTATAACAGGCATCTCTTATATGGAATAAGATAGAGTAAATTAAAAAAAGAAGGTAATCAGATTTTAGTTTAACGAATAAGTTACCGAGAAATTTGCATTGCAGTTTTCTGATTCAAAGCTATTCAGTTTAAAAAAAAAGGCTTTTACAATTTAGTTAATACAATGTATACAAATATCTCAGTGGCAAGAAAATATTTTTATTTTGTAATTTCATCGATAAGGTGTGAAGGTACCTTTCAAAGCGGATCTATACCTATTATGTAGTAATATAGTATTTCTTGATGAAAGTAAGAAAATACTATTTACGAGTGGATCGTCTGCATTCATAAATTTGTTGTCATAGAGGTATTAGATTAGAAACAAATTTATAGAATTTTGTAAATTAAGTTTGTTTATGTGTGTAAGAGTGCTAAACAAAAAGTCGAAATAAAAATCTAAGACAGCCTCAGAAGCTGGTTGAAACAAAAATATAAGATTGGTTAAGTTTGAAAACTTATATGTTTATATTATGTAATGTTAACCTTATAGATGACGAAATCATACCTTATAAGGAGAATGGTGGAGGATTGTGCAGGGATGAGGAGACTGCGTGGTTCCCTTGTGACCGACCGTCGCGCCCAATGATAGTACCTGTGAATAAGAAAGACATTGGCTCTTTATTCCATGTACAATACAAGATTTGAGCATCTAACGTGCTCGGATCATCATATTTTACATTACTCCTGAGTTTTCAATATATGCCTTCTGTTCTTCTTCTTATATTTATACAATTTGTAAATTAACTATTATTTGGAGCGTTTTCTATACCTTAACAAGCAAGACAAACAATTCTTATTTTTAACACCATTGTTACATAATGATGTCTATTTAAAGCTTAAGGTTGGCATAGTTAACAACAAAATTATTTTTCAGTTCAAGTAATTTTTAGTCGTGCTTATAAATGTATTCAAAAATAATTAGGATGCAATATACGAAAAGCATTCATGGATATATATATAAAAATGCAATAATTATGAAAAAAACATTCTCAAAACTACAGTTAACAAATATGAATGTGAATGAGAGATTCAAGTATATGCAAACTAAATGAATGAATACTATTGAGTGTGACTATGGTCTTTAAGGTTAATTCTTTGGAATATTTCTATTATTTTCAAGCCCAAATAGATTTTGGTTGTGATTATACCTCAATTAATATTTTAGCACATGTATCTGCACAGACACAAAAATACGTATAAATGTGATTTGTAAATAGTCTGCATACTTATTTTTTCGATTTCAGCACGGATGTAAAAGGTCACAGCGGTGTTAACATGTCAACAATACATTGGTAGGTTTATTTCGACCACTATTACACCATTGGTTTTCGATTTAACAAAGATGACATCTCCGTTGTCTCAAACATAAATTGCTCCTGCTCAAAATTTTAAAACAATAGTTTTTAATATTTAAAACTTATCAAACAGTTTTAAAACTATAAGTTCAATATCTACTGATTTTTTTTGTATTATATCTGTATCTGGCAAAGAGATAGGTAAATTACCTCCTTGCCGATGGCAGGCAACCCGTTGAGGCCATTACAGGGCGGTTCAAGACGGACAACGCTTTTGCGAGATCCGCGAAAACCGGTGTCGCGCACACGCACGGAGGAACGCCAAGTGGAGAGTGGAGGGTCATCGCGGGAGCCGCGCGCGGAGGCTGCCCGCCGAGAGGTAGTTAGCGCAGCCCCACCGCCGGCGCCGGCGCAAGCGCACGGCGGGGTCACGATCAATGGCACGTCAGGGGGCCCGCGCTCCTCCATGCCGCAGCCGCGCCAACGTTCTCACCGGAACCCACCGTGCTCCGAAGCTTCTAGGTGATCACATTCCAGTACGGCTCGCTCGAACGCCGTTGCCGACTCGAGAAGCGCGATTGCCGTGTTTTGCATAGATGATCGATTTATTCCCAGGAGCACTAGAAACTATTCCACTCTTCCTGTTTAGTAATCGTATTTAACAGTGTTTGTTTTCGTATTTCAATATTTTCTGAACAGTAAAAATGGAAAATATATACGATGGTATGGTTTTTAGTTATTAAATATTTTTAAAATATCCACTTGATACAAAAACGATAAAGGATCTATCTTTCTATCTATATTACTTAAGTACTCCAAAGCACCAGAAGCTGAAGTCACGATAAATGGCGGCAATGATGGTGATTAAAATGTAGAGAACACTTCCAACAGACATAGGTACCGACATATACGAGCGCCTGAAAGTGGGAAACGAGGCCTACAAGACACTATGTCAATGGGATTCCGGTTCTTTTCATCTTTATGCACAAGTTCAATGTGCGCAAGATGTTTTCCAGCTTGTGAATAACGACGGAGACAACGAAACTGACATCATACTCAATGATAAGTGTCCCATGAAAAGTTTTTTTCAAGTAGAAATAATCTTCTTTGTAAATTAAAATCAATATATCACAGACTATGACTCAAATTCGTCATAAATCGTCATAAATACCCACAGAACAGAGGTTGAATAACATACCTATTAAAGAAATGGATTTCAATTCATTTTATGCAACTGGTAGTGCTGGCTTAGGAATAGCATATCTTTGATCATGAAACGCCAGTAGCGATTTCACCACCAGTAAACCGTAAATAAATATTTCCATTAACGGTTTCTATAAGTTAAGAGATTGCCTTGTAAGAAAAGAAAATACATTCATGATTTGACTAATTTCAATTTTATGATTTTAATTATTATACTATTACTATTTAAAATAAACATTGTCCTTAATCCAGTAAACCTAACAAATTTCCCCCATAACTATTGCATCTTTTGTGTGAGTGCTATACGGGGTCCCCGAGATTCGCTCATTTTGACAGCAAGCATTATGTTGTATTCTTACATAATAATGTTATCAATGCGTAGCTTAAACCTCAAAAAATGTTTTTAACTTAATAAAATAAAGTGATTTAGAAATGTTAAAAACCCTTTTCCTTGTAGGTTATAATACATTCTATTACGACCGTAAAAAGCATGACAGTAAAAAGGATTGTTGTAAATATGTAATGTAAAATTATAATGCAAAAGGTAAAATAGCTGTAATGTATTAGGTTCAAATTAAATATATCTCTGTTTTATGCACAGTTCAGATAAGAAGTGAACCTCTTTTGATGTCAAGTGGTTTTGGCATGTAACCCGGGTACCTGAGTTCCTCAGATAATGAAAAAGAAATTCTCTATTCCAACTGTACGTAAAATTGTAACGTTATGTAATAAGTATAGGTTCAATAGTAGACCAAATCGCATGTACCTACAAATGAATGAAAGCGTTACGCGAACAATGCGAGTTTTGATGGATCATGGATATAGCGCTACGAAAGCCTTCATTCTTTGAGTAAATCCTTCCAGACTATGAAGAATAGTAGGAGGGGCTGCATGCTCTGCGAAATTCTTGTTATTGACGTGTTTATACAACCATTATACAGTTAAATTCATTATAGCATCTGTAACTTTTATAACAATGAAGCTTCCAAAGCGAGAAGCATGGTTTTGGTATAGTTGTAAGACATTAACGACTAAATAAAATATGAAAAAATACTAGATAATAAGATAACAGCTAAGTATCAACTACTCAGTCAGAACCAACAAACCCTACAAGAGATTATGAAAGAAGAATGATATCGATGGTCTTTCATAAAATGTTGTAACATTCGTTTTGTCTAAAAGCATCGATTCAAATATGATTATGTACGTGAGCTACCTTCCTTTACTAAGAAGAGAAAATTAGATAAATAACGTAGACAAAGGAAACCATACCATGGTAGTCATAACTCCAAGCATGGATCGCGTTTTTCCCACAAAAATATCAAAACAAAGCAAGAACAAATTGAAAGAATATATAATGCTAAGCTTGCAACCAAAACGATGTAACGATAACACCTCTTAACAACTGACGCACTGACACTGAGTGAACTAAGCACAGGACGGCACCGCACTGAATATTATTGACTAGTAAGCCTGAGCGATCTAACACCACTTTTTGGTTGAAATAAATAAATAAACGTAACAAACACCTATCGCAATATAACAAAATTAGTAAAGGTGACTGCAAAACGATATTTTTAATTTTTGCTTTTTAATGCAGTCGATCGATTAAGCGGTTGACTCATTTAGGACATGACGACCCGTATTATCGGATATGCGTTAGTTTGGTGTGTCGTGTAATGGATGTAAAAATTAGTTATAAATCGCGGCGTCGTCCTCTAAAGGCGAGTGGCCTAGGAACGATATTAAGATAACAATTCGATGGCAGTGTGAAAAGCGGCAGAGTCCGCAGCGTGGTCGCTGGACTTAAACTCGATGGGGTACTGTAGCGGCGCACGCAAGAGGTCGCTGTGCGCGCGTCGAGACCTGCCTAGCGCCGAGCGCCGACGGGCACTCACGGAGACGACCGAACACAGGCGTGACCTCGCACAACCTCCCCTTCTATTCATCGAATATTTCAGCTGAAACGCATGGTGTCGCCAAACTGGGTGCCATGCGCCACGCCGACTGCCTGTACATGTCGCCAACTGTCGTTGTTAGCATCACGTGACACATCGATATTAAACTCCCCAGCGGCAAAACACTCCTAATATCCAAATAATGTAATTTATTATGTGCTACTATAAACGTACGTTTTGTTATTTTATTGAATATGAACGAAATTTTATTATAATAATGGAGAAATTAATCTTTTATACCAAAGATCATGATAACATTCACATGTCATGAACTAAATTTTATTAGTTTTACATCACGTTGCGATGAAACCCTGTTTTATGAAGCTGGCAATTCGACAACTACGAGTATGTCAAAGAGTAACCAAATTGTAAAATTGTCGCGATAAGGCTGTTTAATAAAAGTGACAACTATGTTGAAAATCGACAGGTAAAATCTTGACATATTTGTCATTTAAAAACGCGTTTCATAAACCTCGACATAAGTATGTCAAAAAACCATAGTCAAATTATTACTGACAATGGTCGGTGACAATGGTCAGATTGTCGTGAGAATTATGTCGACTTTTAACATATTGCAAATTATTTTATTTTCTGAAATATTATTGAATCAATTACTAGTGTAACTTCGATTGTTTGTTTTGAACTTACCATTTTGGGCCTTATTTATACCCGATTGACCCACGATATAAAAATAAAAAAATTGGAAGGAAATAGCCGATCAATTATCAGCATTAATTATTTTCAATAATGACTGAAGATACCTTTGTGTCACTACTTGGCAAAAGACGATGGTACGATTTAGTTCATTTTAACTAATTTGTACATTATCATTTTTTTTTTGTTTTTGTCTCAGCCGTTAACCAACTTTAAATAAAGAAGAAGAATCTTTATAGTGATGCTGTCCTTTGTATTTGTATTGGTGTATTAGGCGTCATAAGCCACATTTTAGAACCATATCCACTGTCTGCCAAGAATTCTGCCTTTGGGAATAGTCTTAATTCTTTCCCATATCTGTGCTAAAGAAGAGTATCTCATCACTCTGGCATCGTGAACAGAACCAGGCCACCTTGCAAATGCGTAGAAAATTTCTAAGTTTGGCCCGCATACCACCATAGTATTAATTGAACGGTTTCCGTTTCTATCTACAAACGCAGATTCATTTTGATAAGGCGCATCTATAGGATTTGACGAAACGTTACCCATTATGCCCGATGAAAAGTGCCCAATTTTACTAATAAACATTCTACGGAAGTTTTACATACCCGAAATTTTTCTATAAAGCAGAAATCTGTAATTGAGAAATATAAATTATTGCTGCTTTTAAGTGATCCTTGTTGCCTCCTCGTTTGTAAGTATCGTTTAGTAGTTATCGTTTATTAGTATTAATCATCATTACTCCCACTGTTCAATTTATGTACATTTTTTTGTAATAAAACTTTTAAAAACATTTTCATACACCTTCATAATTCAAAATATGTTTTGGTGACAGAGGGCAACGTTCCTGTCAGAATTGTCAGATAATTGACAAATAAATAATTATAATCGATCTCTCAAAAATCGCAATATAATGTATCATTATTTGAAGTGTGTGAATCACTGATTTGTCTGATTGAAGGAAGGAAAATACGTTCAAACCAAATCAATACAAACCAATTATTATTAGCATCTAAAGACAGAACTATCTTCAGTTCAAATAAACTTTTTAATAAATAAACTTTAAGTTTATCTCACTATATTTAAATATCCCTTTAACTAATAACTATTATATTTTGTTTTAACTTTAATTTCTTTTGTTTGTTGACCTCTTTTTAATAAAAAAAAGTCCAAAAATTACTTCCTTGGCTATTTACACGTACGTACACTTTTATAAGAAATAAGTGATAATTTATGAAAATTGAAACGGTCATAAATCAACTTGTAATTTTTTTTTTTCACTTTCTTTTTAATATTGAAAGTCAAAGACAAGTACTATAATTGTTTAAAGCTAGTGTCCCATTTTTATGGACACCCTGTATATTATAAAACGTGTGTTGTCTAAAAAAACTTAACAATGATCCATCATCATCAGCCTATCGTGGTCTACTGCTGAACCAAACAAAATAACAGATACCATAAGTACATCGCAATTAAGGAAAACAATATCCTCCCTATATAAATTTAACGCTCTTCAACAAAAATTATTTGTCTAAGTTTTTTGTCGAAATTTTCTAGTAAAATACGAGACAGGATAATCGTATGAATTGACGAAATGAGAGCATTAGAACGTCAGGTGTTTTGTTAGTACACTACTTTGAATTGCAATCCGAT